CACAGGACAAGATTGTGACTTGTGCTATATGTCAATGCAAGAGAGCAAGAAACCCCTTATACTCTTATGCAGACAAGTTGGGTCTGCACACACAGCAGTAGGTGAGGCTAAATACCTACTTCCTCCTTGGAGCAGGTATTGGAAGGGGTGGGGAGCAGGGCCGACGAGAGGGGGGGAAAGCAGGTACAAATTACTGGGGCCTGGCAGTCTGGAAGGGGGCCTGGGCCCCGGCTTCCCCCCCCCTCGTCAGCCCTGTTTAGCTGGTCTGCCCTTGCTGGGGGGCCCCAAAAATGTTTTTCACCGGGGCCCAAACCCGCTCTCGGCAGCCCTGGTGGGGAGTAGGGCCTTGACTCTACTTGCTGGCAGATACAGCTAAGCCAGAGGGTTAGGAATTTATTACTGGGATAGGCCAGCAGTAAAATATGGCCCTTCAAGAGCAAGGAAGAAGCAAAAAAGAAATTATGACTCAGAAGTGTGTCTCTGAGTCACAGTGTATCCTGGGCCCACATCTAGCGGTGAAGCTTACATTTTATGCCAGATTTATTATAAGACTGACTGATAGTGAATAGCACTTACTCTGCATCTAACTCTTGTTCATGCTGAATGAGTTTCAGTGTGTATATGAATCTGGCCCATGATTCAATTGTTTTTCAGATACATATATTTGAAAGGGATTTTTAACAAAATACCAGGTTTATTTTAGCAACAACCTGCTAATTTGGTAAGCACTGCATATTTCCTGCCTCACCCCCCAATTCCTTTGAGTCCGGATGCTGTAGTCACTGGGTCCCAACTTGAGTTACCTACATTCTTGAATTCTACCCTATCATTCTGCTACTGAGTATTTCATCATGGTGCTTTTGAAGGGCAGAGAAATAGCTTCCCTTAGAGATAAAGCTATTCCACTGATCATCTTCTAGAAGATATGAAAAAAGAAAATTGGGCCACAACCTCTCCTGAAGGCAGGATATTAATTCCTTGTTGGCTCAGTTCCTAAATCCATGTACAAACGCAAACAACTGCAAACCCAATACACTTTTGAAGCACCAGGAAGTCAACTACAGTAACTTTATTAAAAATCCACTTCACTTTATGTTCAAAGCTAGACTAATTCTAATATGTTCTTTTGGGTGAAATCCTGGCCCTACTAAAGTCAATGGCAAAACCTCTTTGACTTCAATGTGGCCAGGATTTCACCCATTACATTTGTTATGGACATGTCCTGGGAGTGATTAATTGATTTGTAAAGGGCTTTGAAGGCTTTGGTTATAAACTATATCTTGTAGGTTTAGATGATCACTACACTGATCTGTTATAACTTTAAGGGCCTGTGTCTCAAGATCAGGCTAAATTAGGTTATTTATTCCCTTTATATATGTGCCTCTAATTCAGCAACAAAATAATAGATGCACTTACACCAGTATTTAAACTCAGTTACAGAAAAGCAGAAACCATATCTCTGTGTATATAGTATCTGAAACTTTATCCTCATGCTAACGATATATAAAAGAAACGCTCACGCATACTTGATTACTTGCATGTAGATTCTTGCCCCTTTAGAAAAGCTGGACTTTCCAGCAATTACTGTCCTCTGAACTTCAAACCTTTTCTCCAGGTGTTTTGAAATCACAGGGGGGCTGATAATAATAATTTCACAGAGTCTTTACTCCAATGTAACTCCATTGAGTTGTTCTTTATTTACAGTAATGTAAGTGAAATCAGAATCAGGACAGTGGTAGAAACTTCGGGCTATACAGATCTTTGTTCTTCAGAGTTCACTGGGTGAGCCGAAAGCAAAATGCACCCAAAGCCAGAGGCAAAAGCAAACCTTATCTCTCTGCAGACAACCTCCAACTGCCTTCCAAGAGATAAATTTTACATTTAGATGGACTTTAATATCAATAGAATCTACCTATGAGACTTGTGCTCAAACAGTTTAACTACCTACTGCTGAATTCTCCTGATAGGGAGAAAAATGTCCAGGTGAGGTGCTGTCCTTATATCACTTCTCGGCTCTCTGAGCTGTGGTGCAAACGTAGTATCTTTGTGCTACCAGCTTTTTCATAATATTACCTAACTCATACTATTTATATGTTCTGCTTCTAAATTGAAATTAATTTTCACTTGGAATGGTAAAAGTGGAATGACTATAAAGAATAGCACATTTTAGAACTTTGATATACATATCAGAAACTGTATTTCTATATAATCAAATTCCTACTTTAAAAAAAGAAAATTGGGTTAGGAATATATATCTTGTACTGTATTTTTGTATGACAAATGCTTATGATTAATTGTACCAGCCAGCAGGTATCTTTGTAGCGTGATGCAACAAATCTAGAAAAAAAAAAAAAAGAAAGTTACTTGGTAGGCAAAGCATATATAAATAAAATTGGCATTAAGTTAAAATTTTAGATTTTTGAATGACTACGGGAATAACTTTTAGGCAGCAACAAATCCTTAGAATGATTACCCAGCAGTTGCCAAACCCTTAAGTACATCCAGGGCTGGCTCTAACTTTTTTGCCGCCCCAAGCAAAAAACAAACAAACAAACAACACCCCGCCATAACAACCTACCCCCTCAGTGCCACCCCGCCAAACCAAAAACAAAACAAAGAAAAAACCCAGCGCCGCCCCGCAGAACCAAAAACAACCCCCCCACGCCGCTGAACCAAAAACAAACAAAAAAACCCAGTGCTGCCCCGCCGAACCAAAACCAACCCCCCCTGAGCACCGCCGCGCCGAACCAAAAACAACATCTCCCAGCGCTGCTCCCCCAAACCAAAAACAACCCCCCCCGAGCGCCACCCCGCTGAACCAAAAATAACAAAAAACCCGAGTGCTGCCCCACTGAACCAAAAAAAATAAAACCAAACCCTGAGCGCCGCCCCGCCGAAACAAAACAAACAAACAAAAACCCAAGCACTGCCCCGCCACCCCAAGATTGGCCACCGCTTACAAGGTGCCGACCCAAGCACATGCTTGGTCGGCTGGTGCCTGGAGCCGGCCCTGAGTACATCTCTGGTGAGAACACTTTTATTAAGGCTGCTTTTGCTGTTACAGTCTTCTGTGATGCATAAGGAGTGTCAAACTATTTACATCACGTTTCATGTCTATATCTACAACTTACTACTTTAGTTCAGATAAAGTAACTTCTTTTCCAAAGCCTGACTTCATAGTGTCCTAACTTGAAGAAAAAGGTTATTTTGTTTGCTTAATCAGATGTATCCTTCACAAACTTCCTCTTTCTTCAGTCAAATACAGTAAATAGGCTAAGTGGATAAAGTTCTTAAAGATTTATGATCATTAGCAGGGCCGTTGAGAGCGGGTTTGGGCCCCGGTGAAAAATTTTTTTGGGGCCCTCCAGCAAGGGTGGACTGGCTAACCAGGGCCGACGAGAGGGGAAGCCGGGCCCCCTTCCGGACCGCCGGGCCTGGTAATTTGTACCAGCTTCCCCCCCCCCCCGCCTCGTCGGCCCTGATCATTAGTATTTGCTTTGCGTATGGAGGGTTGTTTCAACAGTTGGGCTTCTTTATTTTTAACCCACTGCTTCTTGATCCTGTTTTGTCTTTAACACCTTTGTTTTATTTGTATGGTTTTAACATGCTATATTTTAATTTGTTTTAGCATGTTGTCTCCTACTTAACTTTAATGCCCATTGTTTTGATTAATTTTTCTTGAACAGTTAAGAAAAATTTTCTTTCATAAACTTTGTTTTGAATATTTTAGATACAACAGATACAGACACAATAAAACCCTAGTTTTGCAAAGGCTTATGTAGATGTTTAACTTTAAGCAGGTGAATAGTTCAATTCAAATAAAGTGTGATCAAAGCACCCACCCGTCTGTGGTAAACTACTATTAAATCTGAATAAGGATAGCAGAATCTAGCCCTAAAATAATAAAATCAATGGCTTTCCAAATACTTGCCTAGCAAGGATTAGGTTGCAAATAACTTTCATTCTAATAAATCTGCTCTGGGAGCTAACTGAGAATCCAGCAGGAAGCAACCAGTCTGGGTTGGTTACTTAAAAATGCAGGGGTACAAAGACATATTTAGAGTAGTTCCTTTTTAACTTTTATTTTTAATTTCCTTTGCTGGGGTTGTTCTTACAGGTTTCATTGTATTGTTTTTGAGGCCTTTATACACAATTTGTAGACATGTAGATAATAACTTCAACTAAGCCTTTACAAGCTTAAAATGTCTCCCTCATGAATGGAGTGTTATCTTAAAAGCCCAACCTTTTTCAATACCTCCTGCCTGTCTTGCTTTCTACGTGGGTGGTGGAACTGTCACATCAGCCGCCTTTCTGGGGTTTGCGCCCGCCACATCAAACTAAATTTTACCTAAAACTTTCTTGTATGGGAAAAATACGTCCCCTCTTTCCCTCACCCGCTGCTTTTACTTTGCAAGATGCTTTATCATCCACATGTAGCCTCCAAAATTGCTCGTGAGGCAGCTAGAGGGCACTACTGAGGGCATGGACTGCAGGACGAGCCACAGGGCAGGAACTAAAAGGCAGCGTAGCGCGCTGGACCCGCTGCGGATGCCCGAAGGTCACCTCCCGCAAGGCAACCTGCGCTGTCTGCAGGCAGCGGTCTTGCAGACATAGGTTGCCATTGGCTGTGACCCTCCAGCAAGCTCGCGGTTGTTAGAAACTGCAGGCTTGAGCCGGGGTTTCAATGCACCCGGTCCCGGCTTCACCCCCCAAACTCTCTCCAGGCACACGTGCTTTGGTGGAGTCGCCCAGCGATGATCTACAGCGGTTCTCCGCGGCCGGGCCGGAGAGCCCCGCTAAACGCCCAGCTCCAAGTCGGCCCTGTCTCTAGGGGAGGCGGCGTGGCTGAGCGCCCGGAGGCGCCTCCCGTGTGTCGGCGGCCCCCCGGGCCGGGAGTGGGGCGGGAGACGGCTGAGGCTCAGGGCTCCCAGCCCGGCAGCGCCCCGAGCCGCACCCACTGGGGGGCACGGCCAATGTAGTGGGCGGGCGCGCGTCCCCCAGGCACCCAGCGGCGGGGCTCTGCAGCGGCACATGCGGGGCTCCCCGCGGCTCCGCCTGAGCCCGAGGCGGGGCACCGCGCCCCCAGGCAGGCAGCAGTGACCCGCCCCTGCCCTTCCCCGAACAATGAGCCGGGCAGCGCCGAGCCGGCTGCTGCCCGCCCCTCCCGCGCTCCCTCCCTCCCTCAGTCCGGGACGCGGAGCCGGCAGCGGCGGCAGCTCCCAACCCGGCGGCGGCACAGGAGCAGCAGCCTCAGCATGTCCGCCCCGCAGCAGCGAGCTGCGCTTCCAGCCAGCCGGGCAGCCGCCCTGCAGCCCCCGCCGCGCCCCAGCTCCCCGCGGCTCTCGCAGCCCTGCTCCTGCTAGGTAATGGGGGCGACCCGGGAGGGGGCGAAGCAGCCCCGCTCCGAGGGGCAGCGATGGGCGAGGCGGGGAGAGACAATAGCAGCATCCCCCGCCGGGGGGGAGGGGACTGGCGGTGGGTGAGCCCGGGGGGCTGCGCAAGGTGGCAAGGAGGGGACGCGCTGGCAGCGCCCAGCGGAGCGATGCTGAGGCGGTTCTAGGACGGGCTGCGCCGCCTGGGCGAGGCGCGAAGGTCGGGGGGACGCCGCCTTCCCGCAGCGCCCCGCTGGCTTGGTTTAGCCGCGGCGGCGCTCAGGCCAGCAGCGGGATGCCCCCGGCGCGCACGCGGACTGGTGTGGCCGGGCGCTGAAGGGGATCGGAAGTATGTTACCCTTCAGAGAAGCGCCGCGGTTTCTGTTCCCCTTGCCGTTGTTGTTTGCTGATAGAGTAATCCGAATGAAAGCAAAGAGCTCCGGGTTTGGAGGCTACGGGATTGATTCCCCCCCCCCCGGTAGCGATCGCGAATATAAAGATCTGAGAAAAAGCCCACGATTGGGCTGCAAACACACACACACACTCGCAAAATGTACTTTTTGTGGGGCGGTTTTCTCCTTTCCACCATTTACTGGGTGGGAAATATATACGTGGAGCCGTATGGATTCTCGGTGGCATAGCTCAGTCTCAGGGTTACAGTAGGCAGTGTGTGTGTTTTAGCAGGACTTGCCTGTTCAGAGAGCTGAATAGATATATTTAGAGAAGCGGCGCTTTCCAGGAATTTAAATGAGACCTTTTTGTGATATTGCTTTCCAAGGCTTTTTTACTAGCTCCCTCTTTGTTTTCTCAGGTTGAACTTGGAATAGTTATGCAACTGTTTTATATTGTAAGAATCAATATTTTCAGGGGGAAAAGATACTTATCAATGTACCTTTAATATGCAACTTTGGTCCTTTCTGTCGAATGATTATATTTTTATCTGGTATTTTATCTACTATTTTTATAGTTATTTTAATTAAAATTGGTGTCAATGAATATTAGAAAAATACTTTGAATTGATTACTGATATGAATGATTTATTTAATCACTTATGGATAGGGCCCTACCAAATTCACAGCAGTAAAAAATGCATCTGGTCTTTTGTGTGTTTTTACCCTATGCTATACAGATTTCACGGAGGAAACCAACATTTCACAAACTGGGGGTCCTGACCCAAAATTCGGTTGCGGGGCGTGGGTTGCAAGGTTATTGTAGGGGAGTCATGGTATTGCCACCCTTCCTTTTGCGCTGCTTCAGAGCTGGGTGGCTGAAGAGCAGCGTCTGCTGGCCAGGCACCCAGAGGCAGTGTCCTGACAGCAGCAGTGCAGAAGTAAGGGAGGCAATACCATATCATACCATGCCACCCTGGCTTCTCTGCTGCTGCCTTCAGAGCTGGGTGGCCAGAGAGTGGCAGCTGCTGGCCAAGGGCTCAGCTCTGAAGGCAGCAGTGCAGAAGTAAGGTAGCAATACTATACTGTGCCCTCCTTACATTTTCACTGCTTCTGGCAGTGGTGCTGCCTTCAGAGCTGTGCTCCTGGCCTCCAGCCGCCCAGCTCAGAAGGCAGCACCACTGCCAGCAGGAATGCACAAGTAAGGGTGGCAATACCACAACCCCCCCTACAATAACCTTGCAACCCCCTCACAATCCCCCTTTGCATCAGGACCCCTACAGTTACAACACCATGAAATCGCAGATTTAAATGTCTGAAATAATTAAATTTATGATTTTTAAAATCCTGTGACCGTGAAATTGACCAAAATGGACTTTGAATTTGGTAGGGCCCTACTTATGGAATATTAAGATTAATTTGTTTTCGCATGTAAAAATGTTAAATAATAAGTGATATTATAGTAGAGCCAGCAGCAATCATTATAGTCAAGGTTTCATAATAGTTTTTATTCTAACCTTCTGTTTTTAGTGTCTCAGAACTTTCTGAGTTTTCATCTTTTGGGATGAAATTTTCCAGGTTTGGTCTTTTCCTGAAGATTATTTATTTTTGAAAGCTTGAGCAGAAATAACTCAGTTGGTTTTGATAATGTGGGGAGGGGGCATTTTCCCACTTAAAAATAAAGTTTGTGCAATTTTTGTTTAAAATAACCCTTTACTCTGAATGGCTGTGATTTGGAATTTGGCTTGGAAACAGACCATGAAAGAGAAGTGTTTTTGAGGTTTTTGGTGAATTTTATTTGATTTGACTGAAAAATCATAGGCTAAACATATGCAGTACATTTTGCATCTTTTTTTTTTTAACCAAGATCGTAAATTGTACAGCTAAAGAAGTCTATGTTGTGCATGTATGACTGGCTAACTTGACTATGTACTGAGAAGCATACTAACGTTGTGCATGGGGTAAGTCCTGTGCACCTTTTAATGAGCAAGGAATTAAGCCCTGATTCTGCAATTTGAGTGGGTTGACTACAGTATCCACGCAGAAGCCATTCAAGTCAGAGAGGCTCTACATAGGCACGGCAGTTGCCTGTGGCTTGTACGGTATAAGATAGGGACTTCAGTGAGAGCTGCTCTGCACTTCGCACAGTTTGTAGGAGGAAGCCTACTGTGATTTACTTTAGGACCTGTGCAGCTCCTGATGTTGGTAATAAAAATGTTTTGTCAAGTGGCCCCACCTGTGCACAGGCATGGGTTATCCAGGAATGCCTGGGCAGATAATTCCAGATTTGGAGTTTACATAAACTACTGGAAGACAGCAGGACACCTGACTTGTGAAGTGCCATCTCCTTATGTTTTTGCTTTCCCCTGTGTTAAAGAAAAACTACAAAACCACACAATTAGGATATTCCATTATAAAATGATCCTAAGAGAATGTTAGGGTTGTCCATTTAAGTGATCAAGTAAGGAAATGCCAAAGTGAAAGTTACACACCGACCATAAATCTGTCCCTTAGGCATGTGTGTCACAGGAGGGTTTACATGATTTCTTATATTATACAATACAATATCACTGCATTTGGGGGCAGAGTTAAGGTTGTGCATTAACAAAATCTGCATATCCATTTTCTGATGATGACTGCTCTCTCATGCAAAACTTACATTGTCTTAATTTTTTTTTCATGGAATCTGATACTTTAATTCAGTTTGGCAAGAGCTGTGGTACATAAAACAAAAGACCAGACTGATCATGCTAAATTAGGTCCTGGTGGAGTTATTGAAGATTTACAGTACTGGAGTACTCTGGATTTTCACCAGGGTATATTAGCACAAGGTGCTGGAATATCTGCTTGTCCAGTCCAGAATTGTATGTAAAGCTCTCAGTAGGAACACACTCCTCTGCTGCAGCAGCAATTTTCAAACTCTGATTTGGGGACCACTGAGGGTTTACAGAGCACGTGCTGATGGTTTATGTAGAGCTAGCTGGCATGTGTGGCTGGCTTCTTTTCCTTGGGTTAGTTGTTAATGGCATTAAGAGAAGCTAAACATGTACTACTTCTTTAATATTAGTTGTCAGTGTAAGCAATTGATGTTGTTTCTGCTGGGTTTTTACAAATGGTAGGGGAGAGTGTTCACCAGAATACAAATGGACTGGAGACGATCAGTGAGACAATTTCTGGGATACAGTCCGCCCTGTGACAAAGTTTGATTTCTCCTGTGCTGCAGTAACTTTGGAACTAAGGAGTTGGGACCTTGATACAGAAGACACAATACTTGAGTTTGCTCCCACTTTTTAAGTGCAGAACCAAACACTGTTTTGTTTAATCAGGCTTTTGGGGGACTTCAGTGGGGCTTCTCTTCAGTAAGGGTTTGCAAGATTAAGCCATTAAATAGCATTTTCTAATACTACAGTCCCTTTTTGTGTGCCTAAAGTATATTAGAAAAGATGGGTTGGTAATGCTGGTGGTATTGATTTACAATGAAAGAACTTAAAACAGGAGATTTTCCTCTAATTATTACACAGTTGTTAGTTATTATAAAGTACTAGACTGCCACAGCTCAGTTATAATTACTGTTATAAATGGTTTATTAGGTACCATCTGACCTTTTGTCTTGTTTAATTATGTAAGCTTAGTGCAGTGATCTATGTACACTGTATCCAGCAAAAATAATTACTTTCAGAATTTCTTTATCTGAGCATGCTTACTTTTAGAGCAGCTGCATGCATTGTTCTACCATGAACTTTCTATCCTTAGGGCTCTATTTTGTAAATATGCTGCTTGTTTTTCACTTTCATATTAGATGGCTCTTTTTTTAGTTATGTATTTTCTTGGTTGTACTGACTCAGATCAATATTCTGTATTTCATCATATATTGTATATCTTGGGGTACGTTAAAATTGGGTGCACATATCTATTAAAATGTGGGCACAGATTTACATAAATTAGCACGTTACATGTATTTACCCCTGAAAGTTTAGAAACTTAAAATATTTCAGGTGCATAAATCAAAGTTTCCCTTAGTGATTATTTCATTCACAGATGTTGACTATTTTGAAAATAGCTTTCAAAGATACAAGAAGTTATGTTAGCTGCTGTACAGACACATAGGAAGATACGTCTGAGCCGTGAAGAGCTTACAGTCAAAGGCCCCAATCTTGCAAACACTTATGCATGTGCTTGAAGTTAAACACATGCATTTGTTCCACAATGGATTTTGTTTCTCCACAATTGAACTATTTGTGTGCTTCAAGGTAAACATATGAGTGGTTGAAGAATTGGGGCATAATAGTGTTATGGACAATTATTATGACATCACATTAAAAACATACGCAACAATTTTTTTGTAAAGCTTGTGGGCAATCTTAGATTACATTCTTGATCTGATCCTGAAACTTTTACTCATGCGAAACTCTAGTGAGTTGTTGTTATCTATATTAGTGATAGTGTTTTTAACAAACTGCTTTTTTTAATTCAGAAAAATCAGTTTTTTAGCTTAATTGGATTTTTTAAAAATGGGCTTGTTTAAAATACGTGAATGTACAGCCATCAGCCTTGAGGATTAAGATTACCATAATTATGATGATCATTTGTATAAATTTAAAC